ACTCACTCTGTCTCTCCCTCTTTCTCTTGGTCGCTCTCTCTGTCTCTCTCTCACACACACACTCACTCTGTCTCTCCCTCTTTCTCTTGGTCGCTCTCTCTGTCTCTCTCTCACACACTCCACTCTGTCTCTCTCTTGGTCTGTGTCTCTGTCTCTCACACGCTCACTAACTCTGTCTCTATCTCTCTCTCTCACACTCACTGTCTCTCTCTCTCTCTCTCTCACACACACACACACACACACACACACTCTATCTCTCTCTATCGGTCTGTGTCTGTCTCTATCTCTCACACACACTCACTGTTGTTATCTTTCTATCTCAGTCTGTCTCTCTCCATCTCTCACACATACTCTGTCTCTCTCTCTCGGTCTGTGTCTCTCAGACACACTCACTCTCTCTCCGTCTGTGTCTCTGTCTCTCAAACACATTCACTCTCTCTCTCTCTCACAAACACACACACACACACACTGTCTGTCTCTCTCCCAGACTGTGTCTCTGTCTCTGTCTCTCTCTCTCTCACACACACGCTCTGTCTCTCTCACTCGGTCTCTCTCTGTCTCTCCCTGTCTCTCTCTATCTCTCTCACACACTCCGTCTCTCTCAGAATCTCTCTCAGAATCTCTCTCTGTCTCTTTTGTTCTCCCTCATATGCTGTGTCTCTCTCTCTTTCTCTCACACACTCTCTCTCTCTGTCTCTCTCTCACTCATTCTCCCTGTCTGTCTCTCACACTCACACTCACTCTCTCTCTCGTTCCCTCTGTCTGCAGCCTCTGGGAGATGCATGTATCGGGAAAGTGATGAAAGTGGAGATCTCGGTGACCAATCCCCTCCCAAAGCCCCTGAACAATGTCACTCTGAGGATCGAGGGGCCCGGATTACAAAACCCTCGGAAACTCTCCATTGGGTGAGTGAGTAGGGACAGAGGTGGGTGGGGGGGTTTGGGGAAGTGAGGGGGAGAGTGAGGGAGATCAGGATGGAGCGGGGAGAGAATGACGGAGCTGGGTGCACTGTTGGTGGTTTAAAAGGAGGGGATAAAGGGGGAGGGGATAAAGGGGGAGCAGTCGATGTAACATGTTTAGATTTTCAGAATTTGTCTGATAAGGTGACCACATGTTAGTCTGGTTCATTGGAAAGGAGCCCATGGCATTGGGGGCCGTATATTACCGTGGAGGGAGCACTGGCTAACCCATCGCAGACAAAGAGCTGGGGTAAAGGCGGTCATTTTCAGGATGATTTCCTGTAACTAGGGGTCAGAGCCGCAGGGATAGGGGCTGGGCCCGCATTTATTGACAATATCTATAAGCAACTCCGATGGGGAAAGGGAACGCGTTCCCACCAAGTTTGTGGATGTTGTAAAAACAGACGGGAATGCCAGCGGTGAGGATGGTAAGGGAGAGTGTGCAGAGGGATACAGGCAGGTTCAAGGAGTGGGCCAAAACTGGGCAGAAGGAATATAACGTGGGGGGAGCGTGAGGTTCCACACTTTAACAGGAAGGACAGAGCGGCTGGATATTATATAAACGGGGAAAGACTGCGGGACGTTACAGAACAGAATATAACGTGGGGGGAGCGTGAGGTTGCGCACTTTGGCAGGAAGGACAGAGGGGCTGGATATTATATAAACGGGGAAAGACTGCGGGAAGCTGCAGCACAGAGGGATTTGGGGAGGGACCTTGTCCCTAAATCACAAAAAGCCGGTGTCCAAGTTCAGTGGGCCGTAGGGAAGGGAAATGGAGCATCGGCCTTTATTTCGAAGGGAATGGAGGGTAAAAACAGGGAGGGGGTTTTACTAAAACTGGTACCAGGCACCAGTCAGGCCCCAGCTGGAAAATCATAAAGAGTTTCAGGCCTCTTATCTGAGGAAACCCAACAATATTCCACAGGGATCAGTGCTGGGTCCACCATTGTTCATCATTGATACAAATGGTTTGGATCGGAGTGTAGGAGGCATGGTTCATAAGTTTGCAGATGACCCCAAAATTGGTGGCTTAGTGGACAGTGAAGAAAGTTATCTCAGAGTCCAATGGGATCTTGATCAACTGGGCCAGTGGACTGAGGAATGAAAAGTTAAAACCAAGGACAGACCAATTCATTAGCAAGAGGGCTCTGATCGGCCAGTCAGCCTGGTTTAAATTTAAACAACATTCAGCAGTTAACTGTCAGCAATCATCTACAAAGTTAGGTGGGAAGGCAAGTGCGGAGAATGACCCAGAGAGTTTACAGAGGGATAAACACAAGGTTAGGAGAGTGGGCCAGTGGACTGAGGAATGGCAGATGGAGTTCAATGTAGATAAATGCAAGATGTTGCATTTTGGTCAGGCGAACCAGGGCAGGACATTTACAGTTGGTTGTCAGGCCCTGGGGAATGTTGTGGAACAGAGACCTAGGGGTTCATGCATATAGTTCCTTGAAAGTAGCATCACAGGTAGAGAGGGTGGTTAAGAAGGCTTGGCACACTTGCCTTCATCAGTCAGTGCATTGAGTATACAAGTTGGGAGGTCGTGTTACAGCTGTACATTTCATCGATAAGGCCACATTTGGAGTATTGTGTACAAATCGAGTCTCCCTGCTAAAGGGACAATGTTATTAAACTTGAAAGGGCGCTATAAAGATTTACAAAGATGTTACCAAGACTGGAAGGTTTGAGTTATGAAAGGCTGGAGCTGTTTTCGTTGGAGCGTCAGAGGCTGAGGTGGGGGTGAACTTATAGAGGTTTATAAAATGACGAGGGGCATCGATAGGGGTGAATAGCCTTTTCCCCCCCAGGGTAGGGGGAGTCCAAAACTAGAGGGGCGTAGGTTTAAGGTGAGAGGGGGAAAGGGGGCCTGAGGGGTAGCTATTTCACACAGAGGGTGGTGCGTGTATGGAACGAGCTGCCAGAGGAAGTGGGTGGGGGCTGGGTACAGTTACAGTATTTAAAAGGCATCTGGATGGGGACATGGACAGGAAGGGGTTAGAGGGATAGGGGGCCAAATGCTGGCAAATGGGACTGGATTAATTTAGGATATCTGGGTCGGCATGGATGAGTTGGGCCAAAGGGTCTGATTCTGTGCTGTATGTCTCTACGAGTACCCAACATATAGACCTTCCGCTCCCTCTCCTCCTCTCTCTCTCTCTCCGCGTGCGTCACACTCACTAACTCCGTCTGTTTTCTCGCGTGTGTCAGGGATGTGCCCCGTCACGCCAACGTCACAGTGACGGAGAACCTGGTGCCAGCGAAAGGGGGCCTGAGGAAACTCATCGCGAGCCTCGATTGCCCACAGCTCAGCCAGGTCCACGGGGTGACAGAGATCTTGGTGCAGGAGAACTGAACAGGAACCCCCACCCCCTCAACCTCTCCCTAGACCTCCCCACGCCTCCTTCTTAAACCCCAAAACCTCCCCCCACCGCAACCCTCCGCTCTCCTGGCCCGCCACTGTCCTCCCTGAGGTGGGGATGAGGCCTAGCTCAGGTCTGAACAACACGTCCTCTGGGAAAACAAAGGAACAACGAAAACCGAAAAAAGGCAGCGAACACACTTGGAGGGGGTACGGGCACAAAACGGCCACAGATTTCCTTCCCTCACCTTCCCTCTGGTGAGCTCTGAGTGGCAGCCCTTGTGCGGAGGGGACCATCGCTCAGAGACCCAGCTAGGCCTCTGGAAGGACTACCGGCTCTCTCTCTCGCGCCAATCTGCAGACAACCCCTGGAAGAGGTGGGTATCGGACGGAGGAAATTGATCGTCGGGAGGAGTTTAAGGTCTCGGGGCACGTCTCCCATCTTGGTCTGAAGGCGTTGGTGTGTTTTCAAGATGGTTGCCGGCCGCCATTTTGGGGTCAGCCCATTCGACAGAGTTCCGCGGAGATGGAAATCGATGAGGCATGATCACCTTCCAAATGCCGCCTGGTCTCTCTCTATCTTTCTCCCTCACTTCCTCTTTCCTTCTTCCTCTCCCTTTGCTTCTCTCTCGTGCTCACTCTCTCTTCCTTGACTCTGGTTGTCATGGAAATGGCTGCCATGTCAGAAAATCCGACGTTGACACGTTTCTCAGCTGCACTGTCGGAGGGTCAGCGCTGAGGGAGCGCCGCACTGTCGGAGGG